ACCTTCAGTGTGATCGACGATACTGTTTCCCCACACAGGTTCCGGGCCTACTATATAATCAAGAGACAGGGAGTGAGCGTAGAAACAACATCCTCGCTGTTTTTGAAAGTCATTGACTCTGGAAGGTGAGCACTAATGCTGTTAAATCATTCTGAGGAGAAGTATACATGGGGTGGTGTGGACAGGAAAATAACCACTTCTAAGCACCGATTCATCCAGTGACATAAAAGTCACAGAGTAAGGACAGTTTCTAACCAGGATTCGTTTTAGAACAGCCTATTGTTTCTTTTCACAGATGCTAAGAAAACTGTTATTGTTTAAAAATCTTTTCTGCTGGTGGCTAATAGCGCATAGCACTTTCCCTGCCTTGGTTCTGCTACAGAGTCCTGGGTTGCTGGCTTAGATTTTCCTCCTACAAGCACAGGGGAGGGGCAAGAAAGAAAGGCCTGTGAATGAAAAGGAGGTGCACAAAGCAGCTGAGGTGAACCTTGACTCTGGTCCTTGGAGTGATATGTCATTGCACACTTTCAGTGCCACCCAGGAAGGATCCATGGACGATTTAGGTAGCTGCCTCCTCTGAGCTCCTAAACATTCACTTGATACTTAAAATGCCTTGTGTGGAAACTGCTGCAACGCATGGCTCGTTTCTCTGGTCATACTGTTCACAGTGCCTGCAATAGGGCCTCAGTGGACATACTTTTGCAGGGTGATTAAATGAACGGACTACAAGCCATTCCCACTGAAGGCCGTGAACAGGGAAGAATCTTCAGGTAACCTGAGAGAGCAGAGAAGTTTATCACCAGTACTCACCACACTTTGGTAAAGGATACTCCATGAAGAGAGTGTAAGAATAGTTAATTCTGTGATGCTCGTATATGCCAGGCTGGTTCCAAGCACCTTGCATGCTTAACATTTAAATCTCTAAACAGAAAGTTGCTGCTGTCATTTAAACAATGGGACAAAGCTCCAAAAGCGTTTACTACATTTTAAGATCCCACTCCCGCGACGCAGGGGCATTGGCATGCTTTCTGGCCTCTGAGGCCCAGTTGCTCAGCCCCCCACATCTTGCACCAGGTAGGGAACACTATCTAAAAGCCCTGTGAATCCCATTGAGCCATTTTGCAGCCTCTCAAAGACCTTATGTGAACAAATAGAGAGGAGGAAAACGAGGTTTTAATTATCTTCTTTGTCATGTTATTGTCCTGGAGTTCATTTTGAATACATTTAAGTGATTTGCGGAGGCCCAGAAAATTACTTCCGTCTCACTTCTCTTTATTAATTCATACCCATACTCCTACCCTACATTTGTTCATTCCCTCCTCTTCTCAACAAAGCAGAAGCAAAGAAAAATATCTGTGCTAGAAAAGATTATGATTCTTCCTTCTCTGGAAATTTCTGTCATTACCTGATTCATCCAAATGCGGTTCCGTGGAGTTTCTCCAGACCCTTGGGCAGCTTAGTTGTCTCCTACTGTCCTTTGTCATAGATACATAACAGTCAGTCATTTTAGAAGACTGTTATTTAATTCCATTGAGCTCTCTCTTCTCAGGCTTTAAATTTCTGGAGAAGAAAGACTAGATTTTTCATTTACTTAATACTCCTAGTTCTGTACGTGATATTGGGTGCTTAGCACACATATTCTGAGTAAATTAATAAATATAATGCAAAGCATTCGTTTTACAGAGCAAGAGATTGCTCTTACTCTATAAGGTGGACCTGACTGCTGACTTCACATAATCATACAACTAATCAGTGGAAAAGCTGACCTCAGGTAAGCTATATGTCTCACTAGGAAGGCTGAGCTGTCCTCCATTGCTTAAATCAAACCCAGCCTTCATTGCAATACCTGCAAATGATTTCCTTACACTAATAGCTGTCTCCTTTGGATCTTATACTTGTAGTCCCTAATGCTTGTTTAGCTGCATACACATATATTTTACTCCTCTCTACCTGCCTAGATGATAATCATTTAAAGTTAGGATGGTACGTATGATCTCTTTTCTGTTCACACTTTCATTGCTTGAGAGTTTGAACCTGCGACAACTAGAAATTGATCATCTTATCCACTTTTACCGCTCCCATTATCACTTCTAACTGCCGTCCCAAGCACACCCTCAAGGACCAGACTCTTCTTTCAGGCCGTTTGCACATTCTTCCATCTCTGTGTCACCTTGGGGCCTTCACAACACTCCGCTGAACCACTGCGAGCTATCACAAAACTACAATGAGGCCATTCTGAGAAAGAGTCGAAGACAGTGGTCCTTTTTCTCTAACTCTCTATGGGGTTCCAGGGATAATTATCCTGGATAACGAACTTTTTTCCTTCTTTTTTCTTTTCTTTTCTTTCTTGTGTGTGTGTGTGTGTGTGTGTGTGTGTGTGTGTGTGTGTGTGTACTCTGTGAGTTTCAAAGAATCCCTTAAAATTTCTTGACTTAGAGTGTCTGGGGTTTCAGGCAGACCCTGAAGGCCAGAAGCCAGATCATGAAAGCTGTCAAAAGCAAAGAGCTGCTCCAAACGTTTCTCATTCTTTGTCTTGTTGCCCTCACACACATGCTTCTTTCTTCTGTGAGCCTCCTTTCTCATTCCTTTCCTTCTCTGGATCTCTTGTCTGTGTATATACAGTACAGGCATGGCCTTTTAGTTCCCAAGTATACTCATTCAAGCTAGTCAGTATTTCCAAAATCTCATTCCAGGATCCTGAGAGATCCAATATAATTGCATCAACTTGAGTCAAATGTCCTTCCATGGTTCATTTGGTTGTAACTCCGGAGTCCTTGTCATGTAGAATAGAGATAGGTTTGTACCATTGACTATGACCTGTACTAGACATGGAGGAGAGATACAAAGAAGAGAAACTTAATCTTCAAAATCTTAATAATAAGCTGCAGAGTTAAAGTCAAAACCATATAAATGCTCTTCAATTTATAATAGGGTCTATCCCCCATGAACCCACTGTGAATTGAAAAGATTACAAGTTGGAAATGAATTTAATACGCCTAACCTACCATCCATCCCGGCTTAGCAATACAGAACACTGTGGAGTATCAGTTGTTTCCTCTTGGGATCACATGCTGTGTGGGACCTGCAGCTTGCTGCCACTGCCCAGAGTAGCAAGAGGTAATAGGACCTTATATTGTTAGCCTTGAAAAGATCAACATAAATAAATTTTAAGTGAAGTTTCTACTGAATAACTATTGCTTTTAAACTATTTGGGAAAAAATGTGTCTCAGATTATTTTGTTATTAAGTTTATCGGTACACTTCAGACATACAATACAGTTACATTCATCATTGGGATCTTGTACCTTTACATGACAGGTCTTGGTTCTTATTTTTTCCCCATTCCCAGCCCTCCTTTCACCCCTGACACCCTTCCCTGTTTAAAAGACATTGTTTCCACGTTTTTCCTTTTCTCACTGTTTTTCTTTTCCCTTTTTTACCTTTCCCCTACCCCTCCCACTTCCCCTACTCTTTTAGACCATTTCTTCCAATTACACAGTATCAATTATACATTTTGATCCTCAACTACACTATTCAGTATTTACATGTGTCTTATTAATTTCACTTAAGAGTATGGCCTCAATGTGCATTTACTCAGCTATAAATATCTCTAGTTTCTCATTCTTTGTGGTTGAATAGTACTCCATTTTATTAAAAAAAAAAAACAAAACAAACAAACAAAAAAAACACATCTTTATCCAGTCTCCAGTTGGTGGGCAATTGGGCTGTTTCCAAGTTTTAGCTATTACAAACTGTGATACTATAAACATGGGTAAATATATATTGCTGTGGTATGATTCTTTTAATGCTTTTGGGAAGATGCCCAGCTGAGTAGAATAGGACTTCTAGTCCCAGCTCTTTGAGGTATCTCCATACTGATTTCCATAGTGGTTGCACCAGTCTGCACTCCCACCAACAATGAAGACGTGTTCCTTTCTCCCCACATTCCCGCCAACATTTGTTACTGGTTGATTTCTTGATAGCAGCCATTCTTCCTGGGGTGAGGTGGATTTCAATTGGAGATCACTGTTATTTCTTCATGGTCCATATTTTCTCTTAAAATCAAGAAGGCAAGAAGTAATGATACTATTTGTTCAGAAAAATGGAGGAAAAACTCTCACGGTCCTATTTCACCATTTCCAATACCTCAAAAACTTTGTTGGTGCCTTCTATCCAAAACTACCTCATCCACTTAAGAGGGAGAAAACAGGAAAATGATGTGAGTCTTTGGGGAGCCCCTTGTCGTGCTAGGATATTGTCCCTGGGTTCTGGGACTCAACACAGTTGCTGGGCCTGCAAGCGTCACACCAGCGTTCTACATAGCCAATGAGTGGAAGGAATAAGAGGAAAGCATGGCACACCTTCTGTTCAATACCTCTCAATCTCACTGGTCAGGACTGTTCATAAAGCCACGTGTAGACGCAAAACAGTTGACAATGTATCGAGCTAAGAAAGGAAAACAGGGTATTTTATAGGTCATCGCTAGATGCTGCCAAAAATTCGGTTCTTGTACTTAATTTATTAAGTTGGACACAGTATTTCAGCCTGGTGACAAAGGTTCCCGCCTCTTTTAAACTGTATCCTCCCTTGAATATTGTGCTACTGAACTAAGTTAACACTTTGTTTGACTATTTTGTTTTACTTTACTTTCCTCAATTTCCTCGGGCCTTCTATTGGTGTCCTAAGGACTCCGTCTTTCTTTTTCCTGTACTCTCCACTGCTAACTTTAAACTATCAAACTATCAGACTATTTCCTAGATAAATCAGTACTATTTTCTGTCTGTTTAGCTCTTTCTTCCAGGTTCCAGCAACATATTTTAGACCGGTTGCCCATCATTTTTAATTTACTGCTCCACCAATTAAAGAGCCAGCATCTGAAACAAACAAACAACAACAAAAAAACAACAAAACCACTTTCGAGTTCTAAGGAAAGAACTCATATCCAAAATACATTGTAGAGAAATTTCATCAGAGAAACACCCTGATTTCTCACATCGGGGAAGATCAATCATTCCATGCCTCTGTCACACCTTGAAGTTGTTGGTAAGTCCCACAAAAGTAGAAGTGAGTTATCTATAAAATGATTTGTTCAGTACCCATATTTCCTGGTAGTACAGTAAGTCTTGCTGTAGCTCTATGTCTCCATTGACACAGCACCTGGAAGAATAACAGACAAGCAAATCAACAAATAAAGATTCCATTTACCTTCCCGAAGATCTAATGAGACCTGTTTGGTTCCCATTGCATTACCTGGATTCTTAGAAAAAGAATGAGTTTGGCCTCACTAGTATTAATAATTTCCTGTATTTTATAAGATCAAACTCTGTATACCATAAAATTTTCCAAGAGAGCTCTAAATACCGTAACATATGGGAGAATCGTGTCTCTCTAGGGCCATGCAAAATAAACCAAATTACATTTAGAAAACTGCATGGTAACCACAGTATCAGAACGAAGATGTATAGTCAGACGATCCAGCATGTAATATATTTGGACCCAGATAAGCTAATATCTGTCTTAATAATAGTAAAAATAATCATGGGGTTGTAATAGCTAACTATGTTAACTTGTATTTTTCTCCCTTACACAGCCCTTAAGATATGATAGATTTAAATTTGAGTTTTATCTCTGCGTGACCTTGAGCAAGTTTCTTCTCTTCCCTGCCTTCTGTTTCCTCATATGAAAAATTAAAAAGGAACATTAATACCTACCTTTGGAGACTATTGTGAAGATTGATAAAATAATTATGTAAGGTTTTCCAGGATGATTCATCTTTTTAAATTAACATTTCTAGATATGTCAAGTTTTGCCTTAGTCCCGTGGGTCAGGGAATTCACTTTTAATATCTCTATTCTGATACATTATGTGTTGATTTAACAGTTTATCCTCAGAGACTCTGATTATCTATAGCTCAGATGTCTTCAGGTCTCATAATCATCCGACTGCACAAAAAGAAAAAGACAAAGGCACATCAATAATGATTATAAAAATAAAAACCATTTACATCTTGTGATTCCTATCCAAAACACTTAAATATTAGTAGACATCACAGGGTCAGGCTCTCATGAGCTGACTCAGGATTCTAGCTGTAGCAAAGTTTCTTTGTGTCTTTCCATCCTTTTCTGCATCCCTTTACTGATGAATTTTATTTTTCCACTCTCAAAAATCAACTTAGGAGGGGAATGGGGAAAAAATAAGAATCAAGATACATCATGTAAAGATACAAGATCCCAGTGATGAATGTAACTGTATTGTTTACCTTAAATATGCCAATAGATTTAATGGGGGGAAAAATTAACTTAGTCCCAGAAGCAAGACAGAAGAAGAAACCTCCTTCTGCCCTCTGTTTGTCTTTTCCAGGTACTCTTCCACCAGCTTCTCCTCCCTCTTTAGCCAAAACCACAAAAGCTCATGTGTACATCAACACAGAGCCATGGGTCTCACTCAGTGAGCAGAGAGCTGAGTCTTTGTCTCCACAAGCTCAACCCTTGTTTAGATTTGACCAGGACATTATGCTAACTTACTGATATTATTTCTAATCTGCTGGATCACATAGCACTGTACTTTCTATTTACTTTTGATTTCTTTTCAAACATCTCTTTCTGTATACTAAATTTTGAAGAATGGTAACAGGCTCAAAAGAAAATCTCTGAGTGGTCACATGTTTTCTTTCTCTGTTGTTTCTCATAACTAATTCTAATTACTGCTTATTTTACCTCCATAAAATCTCTTGTTTCTGTCTTTTTTTTTCTATTTTCACAGCTGCCAACCAAGGTGAGTCATTAACCACTCTTGCTTGATTGCTGAAAAGTTATTCTAATTTTCCTCTTGGTCTTCCCACCTTTACTTCCATCTATTCAACAGTTTTCTAACCTACAAACTTCTGGTGTTGGTCAAAGTCTTGTATTTTTAAAAGGTATTGAATCCATGAAAATCAAGCTGAACAGACCAGGCATTTTGCTACCAATTTACATCATTATTTCTATACATTTCTGGTAAATTTTGTTAACTAGTTCCTTTGCTTTTCTAGGTCAGACTGAAAACAAGCTGCTAAAAGCCAAGTTACATGTGCTTTTGAAAACCAGAAGTAAATATCTTAGATTTCAAAGTATAAGTTGCAAATGAAGGCATTACTATAGGCTACTTTTAACTAGAAAAACAGTATGTCTGAGAAATAGTTGGAGTTATTCATAGGCAATTACAGGTAGCTACTGTAGTGTAGGAGCAAAGGTAGTATTTATACCTGGTATGCTTTTTGAAGCTATAGCCCATGAGAACAGGATGGTGACTGTCTTGTATCCTCAGTGCCCAGTACATAGGATTTGATACATAGCTGATACCAAGACTTTACTTACTGAATAAATGAAAGGGGGGATGTCTTTCTAAAGTAAAATTCCAATAATCTACAGAACTTGTAAGTGGAAGCTTCATGGCATCAGGAATTGTATACTGCTTCTCTCTATCAGCCTACCCTGTGGGCTCTGTACACTGCTTTGCATAGATGAGATGGTTAACAGATCTAAATGATCAATTTTTAAATGTTTACAGAAATAGCCATGTTTATCAAGAGAGGAAGTTATATCTCCAAATGGTAACACAGAACAAAATCCACCTATGGGAGAAGTCACTTCTCAACAAATTCTTTCATAACTGGGCCAGAAAACTTTCAAAAGTATGAGGTCACTCAGAGGAAAGCAAATGATCCCTCTTCAAAGGAATTTCCATCCAGAAGATAGGTCAAGATGCCTTCTTCCCACTCTGGGCACATCTTCAAAATCCATTATTATACTTAGGAGCAAAGCTTTACCCTTTCTTAGAGAGAATATGCAGATTATTTATGAAAAGATATTTACCAGACTTGCAGTCAGATGACAATGTACTAGCAGAATTCTTTAGTGGATATTCCTATACCTTTCAGGGCTCAAACGCTGCATCTATCTAAGAAGTTGATAATACCATATAAAAGAAGATCATGATCAGGATATAAAAGAAGATCATGTACATTACAATGCCTTTTCAAATATAAACCAAGGTACACATTAGGCATAATTACTGATGTTGCTGTTGCTGATACTATTTTCAATCTTGCGGACCCTGGTTTGAATTATAAGAAATCTTGAATATCACTAATCACCTTCATGCATCCCCCTAAGGTGTGATAATAAAAGTATAATTTTAGTTTGGGATATATCACATTTATATGGTTCCAGATGCAAGCTCAAAAATAACTCAGGGAAATAAAAGGTAATTAAGACCATTTCAAGGAAGCGCAGAAAAAATATCAAACAAGAGCACTGGCAATGCCTATGAAAAATAGCAACGAAATGAGTTGCACAATTAGAATATTGGATACATCTAATTATATTATAAAAACAGCATATCTTTTTGTTCTAATTATTTAAAAATAAGAACAAAAAGTCACAAATCCCCTCCAAATCTTTTAGCTTATCCCCTTTCTTTCATCTACCCTCCTTTTTATCTTTATTGGTGTTCTCTCCTGTTTTTTAATGTCTGAGGATTTTACAATTTCATGAACAGTTCACCGTGTTCTCCTCTTCTATTTCTTGCTTAAAAAACAAAGAAACGAAACTTTTTCTCCTTAATTCTGTCTTCTCTCTGCGTCTGTTGCTCCATTTTTCTCTTATTACTAGTCATTTTCAGCTGCTTTTGATCTTCTCTTTATTTCTTCTTCTCATCTGCACAGTTGTCAGGTGTCTCTGCTTTATTTTGATGTCTCTTGTGGTGTTCACCTCCCTCTCCTTCCCGATCCTACCCGTCTGTCCTCCTTTTTTATTATTGGTGAAAGCATGGGTGGGTGGCCTTAAAATGTTGCAGGAACAATTTGTTACTAGGATATTTAAGAGAGGGGGTGAAGCCACAGCGAAAAATCATTTATTCGGATGCGTGTGCTTCTGAGTTGTGCGGGGGCCGATGGCTGACTCACATCACTAGATGGCAGTATTCCAGATCCGATTCTGATCGGATAGCTCCCCCTGTTCTTCCTTCTTCCTTAGTGTTTATGTCCTACATAGGGATTTTGATTCAGAAATTTATTTGGTTGTCAGTGGTATCTAAGTTTGAAATCTAGGACCTGTCACATCTGTTCTCAGAAACAACAGCACTTGGGGATTTATGACCGCTGATTTGAGCCTGAACTGGGAAGGAAAGGGTTTGAGAATTTGCTATTGGAATATTATATATATGCAAATTAATGAAATTCTGCAAACTGTATAAGCATCCGGTTTATGAAGTGGGATGTATGAATGAGTATTTGATACAGACTTCCCTTTCAAGGCTCAAATGTTGATTATTAGATTACAGTACGTGGATAACCCACAGCGTGCCCTGTTGAATGTGCAGCTCACACCTGCTACTTTTTGCTTATCCTCTTTTGGGAGCTGACTCTGCTTCACTGTTTAATAGCTAGACCACATCTGACGCATTATGAAACCTCACTGTGCTTTCATTTTTCCATTTGTAAAATGGAAATATTAATGGCACATACTTCATAAAATTAGTGTAAAGTTTAAATGAGTCCTTATAAGTAAAAAATAGAATAGCATGGGGCATAAACATTCTCAATGGTTACCATTATTTGTCCAAAATTTCCTTTGCCTACCTATTATTTTTAAGGCCTAGAATGAAGAATAAAGATTTAAAAAGAACCCTCCTCCACATAAATTATAAAGTAAGGACACCGATAAGTCACTAAAGAATTAGAAAATGGGATGGTGGTGTTTGAGAGGAAAACATAGGATGCTATCACAAGGATTCAGGTATGCAAATGAGGGAATTAAACTTCCCTGGAAACCAGAGGTTGAGAAAGTTTGAGTGAATGAATTAGGAGAGAGAATGTTGGAAAAGTGTTTCTGGCAAAACATGAGCAGATACTCTTTCTGCAAGAATGACTAAGAAGGTAATAATTATATTACTCAAGAATTAGGCCATTGTTTTTTAATGCTCACAGGTATCTGTTAATAATTCATTTGGATTCCCTATAAAGCAGAAGCAAAAGAGTCATTTTTAAGTCAAGAAGAAGCTATTATGTGCTGGCTGTGAAGCTTGACTATGAAATAATAAAACAGATTTTTAAACAAAATGTGTCACGAATCCTTTTATAGATACCTGCTGATCTCTTTCCTGTAAAATGCTACTAAATACTTCGGAATAAAGATTGCATTCATGGATTATATTTTCCAGGAGGGGCAATGGCTTTATACTGAGTCATAGTTCATTCTCTTCTTGGGTCCAGTTGTGTGAATGTGTAACTCGACTTCATTTGGGATTGGACAATGGCAGAGTCTAGGGTGACCACCAAATGAAGCCACTGAATACAAGTGTAGTAAGATCTTGTATTAAAGTTTTGGGCTTTTAAAAAATATGTTTACAATCAAATGACATCGGGTTATGCTCCTGGAATTAAATTACCGAGGGTTGAATTTGGAGGAAATGAGTTCTCCACAACCTCTAGTCCCATACAAATGTAATCCTGATTTCCCAAATGAATAAAACAAACTTCATATAGTATGCAAAACCTGAGCTGGCCTTATCCTTTTAAAAGTGAGAAGCAAAAAATATTCAGCAATGAGCTTAGCAGTCTAGAAATTGAGTAGGAAAAGCCATCTACAAATCCTTGCAAGAAACGCATGCTTTTGCAAAGCAGAAAATTGTGAAGTCTTTGTGTGATGAAGTGTATAATAGAAGCCCCATGGGTCTGTGTATGGATGCAAAGTGATTAAGTTTAGCACTTACTATAATTGCTTTCTACCATTTAGTCATGTAGTGATTCAAATGGCAGCTATGTGGTTTGTGCCGCAGCAAAAGGGTCAAGTATAGTCTTAGTTACAGGTACATCCTTTTATAATGCTGTTCCTTATATGCATCTCCCTTTAAATAGTCACAATATTGGACTCCAGAATTCACACTATCAGGTTATCAGGTC